CGCGCATGGAGGCCATCTTCCCCGTGCACTGGCAAATGAGTCGCCGCCTTTGCCTCTTCTTTGCGAACGCACGCGCGTGCACCTCTTGTCGCAGCTCGGCGCCGTCGGCTCGGACGAGCTCGATGTCACGTCGCTTCTCAAAGCGCTTCAAAAAGCACTGCTCTTTGAGCGCGAAGTCGTCCAGCGCTACGAGGTACAAGTCGATCCATCACTACTACGCGTCGCGTCATCCAATCCATTTGCGCAGGGCGAGGCTGACGAGAGCCGCCATGAGCTCAATGAGAAGGGCCAGCTCATCGACCCGGCGTCCGCCGAGGGCATCAAGCGCCGGCTGTTGCGGCAGAAGCGCGTCGCCGAGCAAAAGGCAATCCGTGCCGAGCTTCAAAAAAAGGCGACGAACGAAGAGCACATGGGCGTGGACCACGAGCAAGAGGAGACGATTCCGTCGCTCCAAGGCGTGCTCTCGCGCACCTTTGATCCGTACATGACGGCGTACGTTGCGCTCGAGCGGAAAAACATGGTATCCTTGATCGTCGTACATTATTGAAAGGTGGATCGAGTCGAGTAGGAAGCGATGCTCCACGAGGTCATGGGGTCGGAGCTCGTCGACCGCAACGGCGCATTGCCCGTCTTTTCGTCGTCGGTCAACATGTTTGCGTACATTCGCAACAGCGTCAAGCGCTGTACGGCGCTCACAAACGGCCAAACGTTCTTTGATTTGCATCTCGAGTTCAAGCACTGCGTCTCGCTGTACGCGCAGCGCCTGCTCGCCAAGTTGCCGGCGTTCGCAGTCAGCGACACGGCGTCGGCGACCGCGGCCCGGTGGCGTCTCGCCGAAAAGCAAGAGGAAGAGCTGTGCTTTGTCATCAACACGGCCGAGTACTGCGCGGAAACCGTACTAGCGTAGTATTCATTATGCGACATGTCTTGACCCGAAACAACGCGTAGCTCCCGTCGCTCGAAGACGTGATCCGCGCCAAGATTGACCCGGCGTACACGGACGCGATCGAGCTCGCCAAGGAGACGGACACGTGCCACGACGTGGCGACCGCGGCCATGAAGTGCATCGTTCTCGGCCTCGACAACCTCCTCGACGACGAGTGGAGCAACATGCAGCGCGTGAATTGGGGCTCGTTTGAAAACGTCGGCGACGAGAGCGCGTACGTCATGGCGATCGCGGATAAGCTCCGGCCGTTTGTCCCGACACTCCACAGCATGCTCTCGGGCTTGTATTTTACCAACTTTTGCGACAAGCTCGCGGCGGCGGTCGTGCCCAAGGTGCTTGGCAGCATCCTCAAGTGCAAGCGGGTGAGCGCTGTCGCGACGCAACAACTCTTGCTCGATGTGCATGCGCTCAAGATGCTTTTTTTGAACCTCCCGGCCATGGGCCGCGAAGGCGAAGTCGGCGGCGTTCCCGTGCCCGCGCGCTACGCCAAGTTTGTCAACGCGGAAATGGCGCACGTCGAGGCGGTGCTCAAGCTCATTGGGACGCCGACCGAGATGCTCGTCGAGAGCTTCAAGATCATGTGGCCCGATGGCAACGCGGCCGACTTTCAGGCCATCTTGAACATGAAGGGGCTCAAGAAGGCCGACCAATTGGTGCTCTTGGAGCAGCTCGGACTCCAGGCCGCGGTCCCCAAGCAACGCAGCATGGCAGGTGTCGAAGAGAAAGTGACCGACATGACGGAAAGCTTGAAGACCAACATGCAGAAGATGGCGAAAGCGACCAACCCTTTCAACTACATGGGCTCGGCCGCGACACAGTAGCAATCCCTCTAAACGTAGCTAAACGATGTTGTCCATCTTCATTGGATAGTCGTACAGTACAGTACATACAGTTCCTACTGGCAGGCCGTACCATGAGTCGATCTCGAGCTCGTACCCGTCTCCCGCATTGCCCTGTACGAATGAGACCCTCTATGTCAACCCGAGATGGGTCCTGCACTGCTTCTGTTTTGCTACTCGAGAGATAGCGGGGCGGTATCGAGGCTCCGTTGGATGGATCGGCTCGTACGCAGCCAGCATTTCGAGGATGTCGATATGGCTGCTGTCGTGCTCTGGGGTTGACGCTGTTTTGTCTATTTGATGTCGCCACCGATTCCATCACGTAGGGCGAGTTCAAGGCAATGTCTGCACAGCATACACAGCACAAGTCAAACCGATCGTGTTCCGTGGGATAGCCAATCACATCGCACGCTTTCCCGAAAGATCGCCAAATTCGTGCGTTGGTTGCGAATGCATTCAATAAACCTGGCATTTGCATACAAAACGCAAGACAAGATTAAAATTCAGAACAGGATTCTCAATTCTCGATTCTCAATTCCAGTTTTGGTGATTCGCATATCATTTCGCAACGAGCCCGCCTCTCACCATGCTCTGCCTCCTCGCCGTGACCCTCGTCTCCGCCGCCATCGGCGCCGCCGACGTCTACCTGACCCTGCGCGCGCAGCAAG